AAAGTGAAGTGATCAAGAAGGAACATAGAACCTCAATATATCTCCTTAGATGCCTCACGGCTACCCTAAAGTCATACTAAGAGCCCAACTCTTCCCCACAAGTCTGGTTTCCCCGCCACCCTTCACCAGCTCTGTGAGAGGCACCATTACCATCCAGTGAAACAAATCAGAAACCCTGGAGTCATCATGTCACCTCCTCCCATTCGCATCTCATTCCATGCATCTCGTTGCTTTTACTTCCTTACTATCCCTCAAGCCCCATTTCTCTCTTCTCCCTGGCACCCTCTAGTTATGACACCACAGTCACTTGCCCACAATTGCCCTCAAGTCTCTGAGCTCCATACTCTGTCTATAGTCAGGATGACCTATGTCCAAATTTCACTCGCTTTCCTCTATATCAGACAGGAAAAGAGAGTTGGTAAGAGGAGAAACGGAGGCAGGGGAGCATCTGACAGTACCAGGTAGCCTCGTGCGCCCATGATTGCTGACGCGGGAGGATACCCAGACCTCCAAGTCTGAGCCAGTGAAGATGGGGCCTGGTGTGCCAGGTGCAGGGGTGAGGCACCAGGGAGTAGCTGGAGCCAAGAGCCACCTTCTTGGCTGGCCTTGAAGTCAGCCCTTAAGTCAGAGCAGACACACCTATGAAAGGCTGACCTCCAGGAGGGTGCCTATTGCCACAGCAGAGCCTGCTGCTGTCCCCTGGCAAGGGAGTGGCCAGTTCTCCAAGATACTATCTTGCCAGCTGTGTGGGCTCACCGAGACCTCTGCGGAAGACCTGGGTAAAGTAGACTGGAATTCTCACTGAGGAGCTAGGGCTGGGTAGAGCGTTCCTCCAGCACCAGAGTCCACCTTGCAGACTGTGAGAAACTTGTTCCACTATGCAGTGAGCCTATTAGGGCCACAGACCGGGACTTGGAGCCCAGCTCTGCACCCTGCACTACAGTTCAAAGACAAGAGCAGAGAAGGGGACAAGGGATGGGCTTGGGTCTTGATTTGGGATAAGCTAAACCTTTGCTGGGGCAGAAAATGTACAAGATGTGTCAATGAACCTTTCCCTGGCTTGGCTCTGCGATGCTGGGCTGCATCTTGGCAACCTCATTTCCCAGCTGCCTTTGCGGGCTGGCTTCTATTGGGTGCTACCTGTAGAAGCCCCGGGGAGGAGATGGGAAGGCAGGAGGGGGAAGGGGTGCTGTATGGGTGGCAGCAGGTCCCAGCGGCAACCCTGCCGTGCCAGGTCAGAAGTCCCCAAAGAGCTGGGCAGTGCCCCTTCTCGGTGTCCAAGCTGCGCTCCAGGGGCCTCGTCTGAGTCCTTGTAACTCCAGCCTCATTTCTTCTGTCCGCCAGCCCTAGAAGTGACAGCTGCTTTCTACAGTTATTGTCACTGGATCTTCCTAAGTATTTTCTTTCTCTTTTGCCCTGTGTAACCAAATCCTCCTATTAGACTTCCTTGGTTGAGATCCTGGCGTGATTTCTGCTTTCCTGACCTGCTCCTACTAATATAGAAAGAAACAGAGTGGTTTCGACAGAGGAGAACCAAAGACAGTGAGCAGAGGGAAGGACAGCAGAGGGGCTCGGGGGTGAGGTGACCTTAGGTCCAAATCCTCCCTCTGCTGTTATCCCTGAGTGACTTTGAGGGAGTTCCTGAATTTCTCTGAGCCTTGGCTTCCTCACCTGGAAATAGGGTTCATAACACAAACCTGCCCTGTCAGTCTCTGTGGGCACAAGACACACACACACACACACACACACACACACACACACACACACACACACACTGATCTGAACTATATTAGGCAAAAGGGTGAAATTATTCTAGAAAGTTAGGAAAATATCTATCAAGAGAGATGGTAAGAGGGCAGGGAGAGAAAAAACTTGGCTCTAACACAGTTGGAACAAGAAAGTCACACACGTTAGGTCCCCCTCTTCTTAGCGTGAATCAGAGGAGACCTGACCTCAGCACACTCCCATGCAGTAACCGCTTTGCCCCAAGAAGAAACGGCTCCTCTGCATTAGACTCAGCTCTCTCATCCCGAGGGGAGACCCCGACTGCCCAGGGCTGGCCATGCGCCCAGTCCCGCACGCATGCATGTGGCCTCGGAGCAGCTCACACAAGGGATGACAGGTATCAGTCCGTCACACCATGCCTGGGTCTTGCACAGACTTGGTTGTCTTCTTTTCTGCCCTGGTGGCATGGGGGCAGGCCACCATCATGAATGCCACAATAATTACCCAGATCAGAAGGCCACAACCAACCAACCTACGACTGCAGAAGAAACAAATGGTCACTGATATACTGTACTTCACGGACGACCAGAGTACCTAAGAACAAAAGGTAGGAAAATGCACCAAAATGCATACGAGCACGCCACCTGTCGTCTTTGTATCTGGACTCACAGCCCATCTGGGTGACAGTAAGGCAACTGGCTTTGGTGTGATTGATGATTCCTTGGGTTATGCCAAGGAAAATGAACCCAAATGCAGACTTGCCAGACACAGCCTGTTTGAGAAGGAAAAGATTTCAAAACAAATGAACAAACGACAGCCAAAGGTAGGCAAGACCAGAATGAAGAAGGTCAGCGGAACTGCACAGGCCCGGGTCAGCGCTGGCAAAATTGAGCTGGAGACCGACTGGATAAGCGCAGAAAGAGGAAGAATTCCGCCTTGACTGTCTGTGGGGATTGTACGACACTTTCATGACAGGATTAATAAATAGTAAAAGCTTGAAAAAACCCCACAAAATTTGGTTGTTCCCAGGGTGACCATCCTTATCCCTGAGGCTCAGAGAAGGAAGGGCTGGACCCCAGAGATGTGACTTTTATCTAAGTAACAAAACTGGACCCTTTTTTTTTTTTTTTTTTTTTGGTACTGGGAATCGAACTCAGGACCTTGCACTTGCTAGGCAGGTGCTTGTGCCACTGAGCTACATCCCCAGCCCTTGGACCCTTTTATCTAAGTACCAAAACCAGATGACTAGAAGTTCTTCAAGCTGAGGAGGAAAAGGCAGGCAGACAAGCCCAGGGCAGCCAAGCACCCCACCCCATGCAGACTGTTTTAAAAGAGAAGAAAATTCAAAGGTTCAGAGAGACTCTGCAGACAGCGCAGCCTCCACGACTCACAGTAGGCAGGGCTGGAAGTCCCACCCTGGCCTTCTGGGTTCTCTGTGTGATCCACCCCGGTAGCTGTGTGCCGGTCCTCTCAGGAAACGTCTTGCTGTTGGACAGCTCAGAATGGACGGCGTTCCCTGGCTCCACTTTCTCTGTCTCAGATGCCAGCAGGGTAGAAGGGCCCTCTGGGCGTCTCGGGATTTGAAAAACATGCAGGAAAAGAGTGCACAGAAACTAAAATGATGATCAAAGGGCAGTAAGTGTCCTCTGAGGACAGACAAGGACAAAGAGGAGCGCCTGACTTGCTGGTGACCTGCTCCCGACACTTTGACACTTCGACACTTCTCCAGCTCTGCCTGTCTGATAGTTAACAACACTAAATTAGTCTCCTGTATATGTCCCTATGTTTGGCCTTCCATGGCTTTTCAAAAACTAATTCTTTTACCCGAAAAACCTTCTACTCCCATCCAAATCTTGTTGTGAAAAACTCCTACACATCCCTCAAAACACATTTTTATCATCTCCTCTGCACAGTGTTCATGGTTCTTAACAGTGCACTCTCGCTGACCCCCACACTGGAGTCGATGGCACAGCGACACACCTAAGACTTCTCCCAGAACAGCTGTGGGTCTGCTGCAAACAGAATCACCTCGGGGATAATTTCAAAATATTCCAGCCCAGGCCCCACCCCATGAGAAACTGACTCAGGGAGTCTGAGGTGGGGCCAGGTGTCAAAAATGTCAGTGGTTGCTGCCAGCGCTTGCGCTGCTCAGTGGCGGGGGTGGGTGGCTGGGTGTGTCCTTTGGAAACAGAGTTTTCTCCTATATTCCAGAGCCGGGCTCAGAGGAACGCTGAGGGAAAGAGAGAGGGAGAGAGGCAGAAAGGAAGAAGAGAAAAAAGTGGAGGGTAAAATGGGCACGACTCCGGAAGGGGCAGGAAGCTGGGGTCTTGGGGCACTGCCCCTGGACCATTGTACTTTACCCCTGCTGGCAGAGACACCAGTCCTGGAGTGCGACACGCCAGGGGCTGAGCCCCGGGTCTGCCGCACACTGACTGGTGTACCTCGGCACCCCACACCACTCATTTCCGACGCCTGATGCTACCGAGGGCCGTGCCTGCCTCTGGCTGATGTCGTGAGGACCCAGCAGACCCTTAGAGTCACCTCTTTCGCACATCTGGGCACCAGCAGGGATCTTGGGGAGATGTAGATTCTGACTCACTTTTGTCTGGCCTGCAGCCTGAGTCCTGCAGTTCAAACAACCTTCCAGGGGGTGTTGGTGCTGCAGGTCTGTGGTGAGGACATCCATCTAAAGTGGACACAACCCTTTTCAGGGAGCCGGCCTGGTCCTTGTGACAAGCTGGGGATGAGGCCGGAGCACCCTCTCTAGGACAAGCTGTGTGCCAGGCACAGCGCCGACCCCTCCACACCCCATCCCACGGAGCTGGCGTCCCTGTTTTCCAGAATGTGAGCAATCCTGAGGGTGCATTGCTTAAACCCCGCTACACAGTGTCCTTTGCCTACTGTAAGAAGTTACCTCATACCTGGTGGCTTAAAACACCACCTGTTTCGGTTCCAGAGGTCAGAGCTTAAGCAATGCGCCTCAGCAGGCTCAAATGTGGGAGCCCACAGGGAGGTTCCATCTAGAGGTTGCGGGGGGGGGGGGGGGGACACACTCTTTGGCTCTTCCAGCTTCCTGGGCCGCATCACTCACTCCCATCTCTGCTTATGTTTTCAGGTTCCTCCTCCTGTCTCTGACTCTCAGCTGTCTCTTCTAAGGACCCTTGTGATTATATCCAGCCCACTTGGTAATCCAGGGTATTTTCCCCATGTCGAGATCCTTAACTTTATCACACTCGCAAAGTCCATTCTTACCACGTAAGGCCACAGGTCAGAGTTCTGGGGAATAGGAAGGGGGCCATTACCTTGCCAGGCACAGCCGTCATCCGGGTCTTCCAGCAGAGCCTCTCAGTCAGACCCTGACTACAGCCCTTGGGCTGCTCATCACCTCCGGCAGAATCCAGGCTCGGGGCTGTTCCGTGATCGCCTAATTGTCAGGGGCTGCAGGAGCAGGGCCAATGTCGTACAACTCCATCAGGAGACTACTGGGGAGAAGGCGAACAGAGCACCGGCCACAGAGGCAGAGTGAATAGTTATTAAAAAGGAAAGAGAAGTGAGAAAAAATCTAGCTGTACTGTTTTCTTTTTTTTTAAAGCAGGTATACCCTTAACTCTGTGGCCCTGACACAAGGTACCACAGAGCTGACCACCTGCTGGCCATGTGTTCTGAGCCTCCTGAAGGCCCTGGAGGCAAGGTGAGTGACAGCTTCCTGTCCTGCAAAGTGTCTGGGTCAGAGGGTGGAACCAGAGCAAACAGAGCCAGCTGATGGCTCGCCCGCCATCTCTGCAAAGGAGGGAACGGGCTTTGAGTTTGCCAAGAGAGGGCTCACCCACTCCGAGGCTCCTGGAAGAACTGGGACAAACTGGTCACCTTTTTGTGGGACAGTTACACAAATCCCACCGTGGGCTTTGATGCTATCCACACTTCACCCTGGGTAACTTGGCAGATAGCTGGCTGGGCTCATCGCTGTGACAAAATACCATCCACAAGAAGCAATGCGCAGGAACCGCTGGAGCTCAGGGCTGTAAGAGGGGACTGCCGCAGGGTCACACCGGCTCGAAGTCTGGGGTGTTCTGGAGCTTGATTCTTCTCAGGGCAGTAAGTGCGGTTGGGGGTATAGGACAGAGGTAGGGCTCAGATCGGAAACGGGGAATAAATCCCCGAAGTGAAGACTCCATTGATAAAGCTGACCACCCTTCCAGAAACCCATGACAGGAGCGTGCCTTTCCAGAGTCAAGGGTCCTCCTGTGGGGGCCCAGGACCCGCTGTCGGGAGGAAGTTCAACGTGATGGCAATGGGATGCTGGGGCCTGACAGACCCTGCATGACCTGCCTGCCAGCACTATGGCCTTGAACAAGCCCCTGAACCTCTGAGCATTATTTTCTCACTTGCAAAATGTGGCTACTAATGACACCTCTATGCAGAGTTCAGAGAAACATTCAACAAGCAACTCGTGCCCTTGCCTAATACCCAGTAGGCTGCTTCTGTCCCCCGGCCAGACCAAAGTCAATGGGAAAACAAATCAGCAGCCAGAAGGCTGTCTGGTGATCCTTGAATTAGGACAAAGGGAGCTGGACAGACCCAGGGCTGTCCCACCACGCTCTGGACCCACGGCCCTTTCAGTCCTTCAGTAAATTCTTTCTTCCGCTCCTTCTTCTGGATTTCCCACATTACCTCATGTTGGCTGGGTTACAGATGAATTAGATTTCGTTTCCACAATATGACACATGGGCACCCTGCTAGGCTTTTCATGTTCTAACATAAGTGATCTCATTTGCCCAGCATGCAATCCTTTAGGGTAGGCATCACTGTCCCCATTTTACAGATGTAGAGAATGAGGCCGGAAGGGGTTGAGGAAGCTACACATGATCACACTAATTCAGGTCCCCACCTTAGATGCAAGTTCCACGTTCCCTGTAGAAGGAGACCCCATGACATTGCCACGGCTGTAAGGGGGCAGCCCACTCTGGTGGACCTGCCACAGTCACTCAGCACCTGAAACCACTCTATCCTGTGGACAATCTCCCGACTGACAGTCCTGATTACAGGACTGGCAGAAAAATTCTTTTCTAAAGAGGATGGGCCTCCCGCTCAGTCCCCACTCAGCTGCTGAGAGGTAATGTCCTGGTTTGAGTGACTTAACCCCCTTCCCAGTCCCTCACCCAGACAATGTGGGCCAGCTCCCTTATGCTGCTAAAAATGGAAGTGACAACTGCAACTTCCTTTTATGAGAGAAAAGGGAATTTATTAGATTGAGCAGAAAAGAATATGTTCAAGGAAGAGGAGGATGTGTGTACACTAGAGTCAGGGAGAAGTCCCAGGTCACGGGGTGGCTGTCCCACCCCAGATCTCCTAGGCCAAGTGTGGCACTATGGTGCACTTTTCCAAATACCTGGAGTCCGGCCACGGAGAGGGGCGGGGATAGGGCTGTGGATCTGTTTCTTTGATCAATGTTGCCAGAACTTTGTTCACTGATTTTTGTAGTGTGGGATGCTTGGAAGCCCAGAACTGTTCAGAACTTTGGTCTCTGAAGGTCACACCAAAGCACCTGGCACTGGAGTGGAGTACCTGCCTCACGGTGCATAAAGGGAGGAAGGAGCAGGAGGCAGAGCAGTGGTGAAGGGCAACCTCACAGGACTTCCAGGATTTTTCACCACCTGTGCTCAGACAGGATTGGGAGTGGCCCACCTCCTCATTGGTGTAGGAAAGATCAAACAGACAGTAGCTGCCTCACCCACTTCAAGAGATTCTCTGCAGTATTTACACAAGAACGAAGATGATTCACCAGGTGAGGAAACAGTGTATCATTTATGTTTAACAAATTTTACAGCAATTCCCTACAGATATTTATGAATACCGGTGCAGGAAAGGACATGGGTCTGCATACATTAAACTGTCTCTGGAGAAAGAAGCCAAATTGCCGGGGTGAAGGTCAAGAGGGGATTTAGCTGTACTATTTAGACTTGTAGTCCTGTGTTATAGAATTAGAATTTTTATTTATCTGCTGTGCTCCCACATGCATTTAACTACTCACACCAGGTAAATTTTACAATTAGAGTTTTTTTAAAAGACTTTCAGCAAAAACAAAAGTTTAGGAAAAAGAAGCAAGCGTGGTCTTGGTAGGGGGAGAGTCCCAAGCGACGGAGAGACGGGCGAGCTTCTGCACCAGGCGGAATAACCATTTCAGGGTGGGCCCTGGAGAACCGGCTCCTCTCTCCCTCTGTCGGCTTAGGACAGACTGCCGGCCAGAGCTCGGAGGACTTGTCCACTCCCTGGCCAAGTGACAAGAGTGTCACACCACAGTGAGCACAAGAGGAGAACAGCCGGGCGTGGTGGCGCACGCCTGTAATCCCAGCACCCGGGAGGCTGAAGCAGGAGGATCGTTGCGAGTTCAAGACCAGCCTGGGCTACAAAGTGAGCGCAAGGCCAGCCTGAACTGCATAGCGAAACCCTGTCTCAAAACGACAAAAAAAACAAAAAACAAAAAAAAACACCACCAAGAGGAGAACAAGTTCCTCTCCACTAATACTCTCTTCTTGGCCTCAGGCCCACACCTGAGCCATCTGCACCTACACCTTGGACAGTGGCCTCTGTGAGAGCCACCTGAGTGGCTCTGAGTTCCTGTACAATGTAAATTCGGGGTCATCATGCAGGACTAATTCCAGGACCCTGTAAGTCCCTTATATAAAACGGTACACTACTTAAATACACATTGTCCCTTAAACATGAAATCATCTCTGGAGTACTCCTAATACCAAATACAATGTAGATGTTATATAAATACTGTCACCTTATATTGTTGGAGGCCTAGTGACAAGAAAAAATTCTGTATAAATCCAATACTCTTGATTTTTAATTTTTTAAATTTATATTTGCAGTACTGAGAATGGAACCAAGGACTTTCACACTAAGCTACCTTCCCAGTTCTTTTTAAATTTTTTAATTCTGAGATGAGGTCTCCATCAGTTGCCCAGTCTGGGCCAGAACTTGTGATCTTCCTGCCTCAGCTTCCCAGAGGGCTCATATTACAAGAGTGCACCATCGTGTCTGCTTCATGCAATTAAAAAAAAAAAGTTTCGATCCGAAGTGAAACCCAGGGATGCAGGATGTGTGGATGTGGCGGCCAGTGGTGTTACGGGAAGAAGTGGTGACTTGCCCGTTCTCTGCTGGGGCCAGCTGGCCTCCACCCATCACTCTGGGAGCAGGAGGAAGGAGACAGGTGGATCAGAGCGGCTGTCCTGCTTTGCAACCTTGCATTCCTAGTGCAGTGGGAAGTGGAAGCTGTCGGGAGAAAGGGACAGTGGCTTGGAGCATCACTTACCCAGATAAGAAGTGTAAACCCCAGGCAGAAACCCCCAGCAGCCAGGTGCTCAAATCCTGGGACTGACACAAGTAGCTGAGGCCTGGCTTTCAATTTCCCTGAGCAGGGAACTTCCCAGAACAGGGTCCCAACGCTCCTCCCTTGTGGCGGGACTACCCGGGCCAATCTCCCTGTGGGATTACAACCAACGACTTCTCACAGGAGCAAATTCAGTGATTTACGTTAGGAGAGGGAAAATGATCTGGGCTGGAAGTTCTGGCACAAGAATGAAGAGCAAATGAAGTGGCAAATTTGGGATAATTCTAAGTAAATATGGGCCACATCAAATAACAGTACAACGTCTAAAAGAGCGCTGGACATTGTGTGCAGTCACTGCCCTACTCCTGTCTTACACTGCAGGGTTCAGGACTGAAAGCAAACTGCTCAGATCACCAGGCCAGCGGGATCCCGCTTAGGTTCCGACCATGAGGAACACCTGTCTACACGAGAGGAGAAGATGGCAGAGGTACAGAGGCCGTCTTGCTTCTATCCCAAAAGCCATGCAGGAGCAGGTAAGGACCCTGGGAGGCTTTGTGCTGCTGTCGGGTAGTAGCTTCCTGCAGTTCCTGGGTAGCACTCCTCTACCTTCTATTTTGTTCCACCAGCTTTTCCAACAAATTTATAACCAAAGCTCCCATGTGAAATCTGCCTGCCACACCTAGAGTAACTTCTGCTTCATTGACTAAGTTTGCTGTTAGGGCTGGGCGTGATGATGCACGCCTGTAATCCCAGCACTCAGGAGGCTGAGGGGGGAGGATTGTCACGTGATCGAGACCAGCCTGGGTTACAAAGTGAGCTCAAGGCCAGCCTAAACTGCATGGTAAGACCTTGTCTCAAAAACACAAACAAAACAAAGCAAAAGCCTTGCTGTTACACAAGATCCAACACACACACTCATGCGCACATACACGCGCACACACACACTGTGGAATTAAAATGCACAGCAGCAATAGCACCTACACTGCAAAGGAGTTAATGATGTCAAGTGATTTAAGGTTCTTGGCTGTCTGGAAGGAAGGCAAAGATTTCAATTAACTTCTAACTGATATATGAAGAATGCACACTGTGCCTTCTGGGTCATCAGTAAGATAATGAAAAAAGGTTTTTAAAAAGTGGAATGAATTTTTTTAAATAGATACAGTTACATCAAAAGAAAGTGAGAAAAGGCAATACGGAATACACAAGGCAACTAGAAAGCAAAACTAAGGTAGTAAATTTACCTCATTTATATTATACAGATCATCTAACTATTCCAGATAAAAGACAAAGATTTTCAGCATAAATTACAAACAAATGTGCTTTTTACAAAAATACATAAGAATACAGAAAAGATGATTGACAAAGAGTAAAATAAGGTAAACCATAAAAACACTAACAAAAGAAAGCCTATGTGTAGTATGCTGTCATGTTCATTGTATTAATAGCAGACAGATATTTTTGTTTTGTTTTGTTTTGGTTTTGGTTTTTCTCCGGTACCAGGAACCGAACTCACGACCTTGCACTTGCCAGGCAGGTGCTTTGCGGCTGAGCTAAATCCCCAGCCCCAATAGCAGACAGATATTAAGGCTAAACATCACAAAAGATAAAGAGGGCCACTTCATAATGGTAAAAGTTTCAGTTCATCTAGGAAACATAATTGTGTATCAGATGCAAAGAAAGAAAAAGAAAGGAAGTGGAGAAGAAAAACAAAACTGTCATCGTTTGTAGATTATATAAATTTTTATAGATATATCAAGTCCAAAAGGATTTATAGATGCACTATTAGAATAAGTTTGACAATACTTCTAGATACAAAATCAGTGCATGTAAAGTTATTCACATTTTTGTAGCCAGCAACAAAAAGGACAGAAAAATGTTTTTTAAAAACATACTGTTTACAAAAGCATCAAAGTAATTAAATTACCTGGAATAAAACTAACAAAAGATGTGCAGTCCCTTTGTGGTTTAATTATAAATCTGTATAAAAAGGCATCTTAAAAAGACTTCAAAAAGGCAGAAATATACCTTGTTTGTTTGATCCATACCTTTCAACACATACCAAAGTTAACTCAAAGTGGATCACAGACCTAAATGTAAGTCTTAAAATTAAACAAAAAGAACATAGCAGAAAACCTTTGCAGCCTTGCCTTTGTCAGAGTTCCTAAATATGACAACAAAAGCACAATTCATAAAAAAAAAATAGTCAAATTGCACCACATCAAAACACATTCACTCTTCAAAAGATACTGTTAAGAGAATGAAAAGACAAGCCACAGACCGGGAGAAAAAAATTTTGCAAACCGTTATCTAATGAAAGAGTTGTAACCAAAATACAAAAGATTCTCAAAACTCAAGAGGAAGAAAACAATTCAGTTAAAAATGAGCAGACACTTCACCAAAGAAGATATATGGATGGAAAATAAGCAAATGACAAGATTGACGTCATCTTGGACCGGAAGTGCGGAGCGCTAGGGAGAAGAGATTCTAAAGAAGAATGAAGAAATATTTGGGGTTGATGGATATGCTCATTAGCTTGATTGAAGGGCTGGTTTTATGGATGTACATATGTCAAAGTGTATCAAGCTGTATGCTTTAAACAAGTGTAATTTATTGTATGTCAATCATGCCTCAGTAAAGCTTTTTTTTTTTTTTAAAGATTTCGATAAACCAGAAATATACCATGTTTGTGGGCTGGCAAACCGAACAGGATCTCCTGTTTGATTTATAGATTGAATGCAATCCCAATAAAAATTCCAGCTGCTTTTCTTTTCCTTCTGTGGATCTGATGAGCTCATTCTAAACTTTATATGGAAATGCAGAGGACCAAGAATAGTCAAAACGCTTGAGATTTCCCCCTCAAGGTCAGAGTATTTGGCGGATAAAATAGAAAGTTATTACAAATCTATAGTAAATAAGACAGCATGGTCTGAGGGCTAGACTGGCAGACCAAAAGAACACAAGAGTCCAGAAATAGATTCACGCTCCTATGAATACTTGGCAAATGGCAGAGGCAGATCACAGAGCAGGGGGGCGGGCAGACCTCATAATAAATGGTGCTGGCATAGCTCAACATTCATATAGGAAGGTGACAACTGGGATTCTATCTCAAACCATGCACAAAAATCACTTCTATCAGCCAGGGGTACACCTCAGGGGTAGAGTGTGTGCCTGACATGCTCAAGACCCTGGGTTGGATTCTCAGCAGACACGCAAAAAAGTCTAGTCACCCATGAGGCTGCTTCCTGAAGCTCTCTGGCCACTCCAACAGCAGGTGCAGCTTGGCTGTCAGCTGTGATGCCCCTCCCCTGCTCCTGCCACTCCAGACGATGCTGCCTGCTCTTTAAAGAAGGAGGGGCACCCTAATATGGCCTGAGGGGAGGTATCTGGGCCTATGAACATCCCCACCCCCACCCCCAAATCCTAATAACTGTGATGAACATAGCTAGACCTCCTGAAGACTCCCCAGTTTCAGCCCTGACATTTTTTGAGGCAATGCAACAGCTGTCAGTCAAAGAACTCACTTGCCACTGTGACAGCTGGGTTCTCTTGGAGGCCACCTAGCCACATCCAGTTGAACTAAGCAAGTTCAAGTTGCTATATTTGGACCAATCAGCAGGCCCAACTTTAAACCAAACACAGACCTACACTTTGACCAATCACAGACCTACACTTGGACCAATCACAGGCTTGCAGCTGCTGTATAAGCAACATTCCCTTCATATAGCTTGGGTTAGGTCTAGGAGGGCTCATCCTTGAATGTTTACCCTCTTTTGCTGCTGCACAGGTACTGTTAAAAAGTCTTGCTTTAGTGGTCTTATAAATCTGCTTGATTTATTTCTTGGGTATTGTGGGTTTGAAAACAATTGCTTCAAAAGAAAGAGCAATAAACACTAAGAGCTGTTATCCTTGAAGAGCTCCAGAGACGAACAACCAGTGAAGGGTGGTGGCCAACAGCAGCAGAGACTGGCACCCAGCAATAAGTGGTGCTAAGTGGTGGCATCAGGGCTGCTAGCAGAGCTGTACTATGCTGCTGCATAATTTCTATCTGACTCGAGCAAAAGAACCCTCAACTAATTGGCAACATCAGGGAAGAGAAGATAGTTTTTAAAAGATACTCACAAAAAGCACAAATCATAAAGGAAAACATAAAAAAACTTGACTATATTGAAATTAAGAACTGTCCTTCTGAAGAGTGAAAAAAGTTCATACACAGAGGAAAGATACTTGTAGCACATGAACAACCCCTCCCCAAAAAAGTGTAATCACAAAACTATATAGGTAACAGGCAATCCAGTAGAAAATTGGCAAAATTTTTTGTAGGCACTTCATAAAAGAGAAAATTCAGATAACTAATCAAAATATAAAAAGGTGTGTAATTTCATTAATAATCAGGAAAATTCAAAATGAAACCACAAAGAGATATTACTATGGCCATATATACCATAGGACAATCAAATTCTGACATTGCCAAGGGTTTAGTGAGGATATGGAGTTACGGGAACTCTTATACATGGCTTGTAAAATCAATATATTGGGGCAACCACTTTGAGTAATAGTTTGGCATTTTGTGGGGTAGCTAAATATAAGTATACCTAGACAAATGCATGTAGCACAGCTGCACCAAGAGTTAGGGACAATGAGGGAGGTATAGTGGCACACACGTGTAATCCCAGCTACTTGGGAGGCTGAGGCAGGAGGATCACAAGTGCCAGGCTATCCCAGGCAACTTAGTGAGACTCTGTCTCAAAATAAAAATGAAAAGGAGTGGGGGAATAGCTCAGTGGTTCAATCTCCAATACAATAAAATAAATAAATAGAAGAGTGATGGATAATAAGTGTCTGTAGCAGTTTTGTTGCTAACCCAGAATACTAGAACCAGCCCAAATCACCACTAATAATTTATGAGATAGATGAATCACATTCAAAAAATGGAGTGCTATATAGCATCAGAAACTACAGCTATATTCAATAATATGGATAAAGCTTATGAATATGATGTTGAACAAATAAGTATGAAAGATATATTAGTATAATTCAACTTCTTTAAAAATGTATATGTCAGGGCTGGGGATTTAGCTCAGCGGCAAAAGAGCCTGCCTGGCATGCGCAAGGTCATGAGTTCGGTTCCCGGTACCGGAGAAAAACCAAAAAAAAAAAAAAAAAAAAAAATGTATATGTCAAAAAAATGTGTATATCAAGATACATAAAATAAATTTAAATTGCTTAGGTGTGAATACATAGGTAAAAATGAAAGGCAAGAAAAATATTATCTTGAAAGTCAGGAGAGTAGTTATTTGGGAGAAGAGGGAGAGTTTGTTAAGGGAAGAAGTACACACAGGGGCTTCCTGAAGTGCTACATTCTAGGGTTTCAAAACCAGTGCCTCTCTTCCCTAATTATGGGATTGAAATTCTTCTAGTCGTGCTGCTTGATCCCACAAAAGTGGTATGCCTAGCACTGGCCAATAACTATGGTTAAAGGAATTCCTTTAGCTGATTGGCTGAAGTCACAAGTGCTGAACCAATCCCTTGCAAGACAGATGAGGTTATTTAAATTTAGACCAATCAGATTCAAGGCCTGATTCTGTCATTTGCCTACTTTGAAATCTTAGGCAAATCTTTTAACTTTCCTTCCCCTCAGTTTCCTCATCTATTCAATAAGGATAGAACAAGTATTTACTATGTAAAGTCACTGTGAGACTCACAGGCTTGAGACACTGTAAGGAAGGGATTTCAGAGTTCCTGCGGAAGATGCTG